ACTCGGTATGCTTGGAGCGGATCCAACTCTTGGTGCTACTCCCGATGCTTCTCAATTGAGCCAGATACTGCAAAATCCAGCTATGTCACAGATGATGCAAAGTATACTTTCCAATCCACAATACATGAATCAGGTAGAACCTAGACTAATCTGAACTATAAGACATTTTTGCTAGTGTGAACATGTGTTTAATGTTTTTCCTTGCTTCCAGCTTATCAGTCTTAACCCACAACTCAGAACCATGCTAGACTCGAATCCTCAGTTGAGGGAAATGATGCAGAACCCAGATTTTCTTCGTCAGTTTAGCTCTCCGGAGATGATGCAGGTCAGTTAGGCGTCTGTTGTCTTTATGCATGTGAAATTTGAACATCTGGTCTCTCGAAAGGGAGATTTCTGTACCTCTAAGCTATTTCAAATGATGAAGTTTTTTCACCCTAATGTCATGTATTGTTTTTTGTTCTTTAGCAAATGATGACTCTGCAGCAATCACTTCTCCCTCAGAATAGGAATACGACCAGCCAGTAAGTATGGATACCCTTTGCTGTTTTGTTTTGTTTAGTTTAATCATAGCTGAGCAGTTACATGTCCTTTATGTATCTCAAATGTATTTTGAGTTGTATTGTGTTTAGACAATAGCGTGACTAGCTGAACAGATAATTCTGTTTGTGGTGAACAGTCCTTAATATTAAGCAAGAAATGGATTGAATCATGGGTAATGAATGCAGCAACTCTTGTATGTTTTACTGGGCTGATCATTAGTTTGCTTAATCAAGAGGGCTGTAAGGCATTCTAATCGTTGAAATAAACTTGAATAGAAACATAAACATATTTGTTTCTTTTTTTGGTTATGCCTCTTGACTTAATAAGGTAACGGTGCATTGATATCTTTTTTCTGTTTCCATCAATCCGTGTTCATGCCATCTTCTTTGTAGGGATCCGGGGCAAACTGGTGCTGCTGCCGCAGGTACACTTCAAAGATATTATCGCCTTTTCTCACTCTTTGCTTCCATGTATGTTATTGAGTAAATCATTACAATGGCAATGTTTATAGGGACAGGCAATAACGCGGGGATGGATTTATTGATGAATATGTTTGGCGGTCTTGGTGCTGGGGGCCTGAGTGGCACGAACCAACCCAATGGTTAAGATTCATTGAAACTATTATACTTTTATTGGTCTTTTGTATCTGTTGAGATGGTTCCACTGAAACATGTTTCTTATTTGACTCCAGTTCCTCCTGAGGAACGCTTTGCAACTCAGTTGCAACAGCTACAAGAAATGGGATTCTATGACAGAGCAGAGAACATAAGGGCTTTGCTTGCGACCAATGGTAACGTTAACGCTGCTGTAGAACGACTCTTGGGTAGTATTGGTCAGTAAGCAGGTTCGTGACGCTCATGTCTTCTCCAATCTGGCATTCTCAGTTATAGAATAAACAGCTTGAAATGTGTTTTTCAGTAATGATGTTTCTTATAATTTTACATTTATGATGATAGAATCGTGAAACTTGTGGATAGAAAAAGCCGCATTGATACGGTATTTGTTTTTCAGTGGTCATTTTCTTCTTCTTCCTTTTTCTTTCCCATACCCAAAACTTCTTCTTAAAACATTTTTTTTTGTTTTTGGATCGATGCATATAAAATACAAAAGTTTGCACCATGCATATTAATGGGTTGATTACATATAAAGACAAAAGCACTTCGAAGTGGAATCATATATCAGAGGTTCACTGTCTTAACCAGAGTTAGTGGCGCGAAGAAGGAAAAATTATATCAGTACTCGTGCGTCAACTATTTCTTTCTCAAAATCTTTTATCTCTGATGGTACTGGCATCTCCTAATTTTCGTTGCAAGATGGAAAGACATCAGTGGAATCTAATTGGTTTATTTCAACTAAAATTTTATTTTGCAAACTTTACGATGCCCATATAATGATAAGCCTAAATTTTTCAAAAAACTCAATATAATGCACATTGCACATGAATATAAAGATAACAATTTTTTATGTGAATATAATTGATTTTTTTTTACACATGTTACAATCACCTTAATTACAAAGTGCGTCAAGCTT